CAATACTGCAGGTTATTTACAGACACGATTTCATTTAAACTTCAGTGAGATAGGTCTTATTTTCATTTCACTGGGGAGGAAACTGAGGCTCAGAGAGATGATTAGTACGCCATGGAACCAGAATTCAAAGCCAGGTGATCCAGGCTCCAAGCCATGCTCTTTTTGATAGGCTTTGATAATTGATTGACTATGAAATATCTGGGGAGAAATTGAAGATAATTTCAAATTGATTGCCTATGTTTGGGAAAATGCTAACATTATTGAGAGGAGGGAACCAGTTTGCAAAATAGAATGAATTTAGCTTTCAATATATTGAATTCGAGGCAATAGTGAGGAACACAAGTGCCAAAGTGCATGAAATAATTAGAGATATGTGTTTGGAGTTTAGAGAAAAATCAGGGCTAAAGAAGAATGTTGAGAAGTCAATTGAAACAATGGTAGTGCATGATATGTCCTCAGCACAAAAAAGTTAAGGCCTTAGAACAGAGTCAGGAAAATTCTAAGATGAGGTTTAGAAATTGGAGCCAGTGACGGGGACAAAAGATGGAATGAAAAAGTAACAAATGAGATAAGGAATGTGCAAGTCATATATACATTTTTTGAAAGTAGGGTCTATCAAGTGCCACAGAGCTGAGTTTCAGGTATATATTTGTATAGGTAATGTGTAGCTAGAAAGAAGGAGATCATGAATGGAAGAGGCAGGTGACAAAGGAGAAAAAGACAAGTCTGGGATTGGGAAGATCTGGGTTACAGCACCAGCTCTGTTATTCTGTGACCTTTGTAAAGGACTCAATTTACACATTTGTGAAATGAGAGTTTTAGTCAAGATGATTTCCAAATGTCACTCTGTGTTGAAATTCTAAGCTAAAAAGGAATGTTTCAAAATATATAGACAAGGTTGGGTACACAATTTTATAATTCATTTATTCATTCAACATCTATTATGTCTGTAGAATTTATTATGTCTATGTCTATGTATGTGTAGTGAGAGTGGGGGGAAAATGTGGTGTCTAGTATAAAGTTAGAGAATTTAAGAGATGCTCACATATAACTACAAGGTAGAAAGTCCATATGTCACAGAAAGAATTAGGAGGCTATGGATGCTCAAAGAGAAAGGGAGAAGATGTTCCCAACGGTGAGGATTTGGGAGGATCTCCCAAAGAACTCTTCCATTGTAGACCCAGGACAGATTAAGCTGAGAAGCAATTCATCAATTAGTGAGAACAGTGGTGTCCTTTGGTCCTTCTGTTGGATGTCACTATTTAAAGCAAGGTGAACTTTGGCCTGGTGACCAGCCAAGGAGGCAAGAATTGAGCAAGTCCTGGGCCCAATCCTAGCTCTTCTTCTTACTATGTTTCATCTCGGTTGGACAAAGCTTTTAACCTCCCAGCTACAGTTCCTGCATTTATAAAATGAGGATACTGTTAAACCTATTTTATGAGTTGCCGTAGGGAATTAATGAGATAACACATTTAAGTCATTAATGATCTGGCCATTATACCAAGTGCTTGAAAATGTAAGCTATTATTCTTTTCCTGAAGAGCAGATATTATTAGAGCATCTTTGAGGGGTCCCATTATGGTGGGACACTGAACTAGATATAAGACTAGGTTTGATTTATGGCTTTAGTTAGTTGCTTTACTTTGTGGACTGGCTGTGTTGGAGCACCCCTTTAATCCTTAGCCAGGTCGTTTACAACTCTGCCTCACCCTTCCTTCCTGCTTGCCCGGAGCTTATAGATCAGCTAGTGGTTAACGCTGAGGTTCTTCTCGGTTCTTTTCTGAGCATGCATCCTGTCCAGAGCATGTGCGTGGCTTTCTAAACTCCCTAATACACATGATGACTTTTGAATACCGATTCCCCAAAGCAGCTCCTCTCTCCCTGGCTTTTCCTCCCTGGCTTTAGACAGTCTCTTGTATGTCCTGACCGTCATTCTTTGCCCTAAGTGGCTGAGGTTTTTCTGATCACCTTACAATGTTTTCAAGCAATGCCTACCATTTTTCTGGCCTGAGTGGAGCTCCAGTTAGGGAAAACAGATGAGCACTTTGCATTAGTTTTTCAGGTAGCCCCTAGAGATGTTAGTACACATAAACACACTCACTTGCAAATAATGTCTCCTCTATTCCTTCCAGAGCCAGGGATCATGTCCTACAATGGCATGTGGAATACCACAGATGCCAGGAAGGCAGTTGGGGCAAAGGCAAGTAAAAACCCCACGAAGTTTTCCTACCATTAAGTTGCCTTTTTTCTTGATTCTGCATTCATTTGGTTGCTGTAAACTTGTTTTTTAGAGTTCTGACAAAGTTGGTTCTTTCTGGTTGTTTTTTTCTAAGTTTCTATGGACGGACAGAAGTTTGTAACTGCCTACTTGCCATCTTCCTGTCATCATTTCCCTAGTTACTTAACACTGGACAAGTCACAACCTCCCTGTTACCTGTTTCTTCCCTAAACAAAACTACTCAGAAAATGCCTGAGGGCTATTGTAAGGAGCAAATACGGGAATGTGGAAGACTTTTACAAAGTATAATGCACATGAAACCTTATTTTAGGAAGTAGGTGACTTGTTTTGTGAGCCACATCACAGTTACATCAGAAGGACTGTTTTAAATGGTGGGAAATGGAGTGGTGGGGGGTGGGAGGGATTGGGTGGCTGGGTGATAGACATCGGGGTGGGGATGTGCTATGGTGAGCACTGTGAATTGTACAAGACTGATTAATCACGGATCTGTACTTCTGAAACAAATAATGCAATATATGTTAAGAAAAAAAAAAAAAGAAGATAAAAAATAAATAAATGGTGGGAAAAAAAGTTTAACTTCATATATTTTTCCTGATCTTCATTTCTACCTACAAAAATATAACATTTCTTTTACCAGGAGCCCCTGTAGTCCTCTAGCATAAAAAAATACTTGTTTTTATTTCAACATTTTATTGAACCTTTTCATATTACACAATTTGCTGAAAACATTTAAAATACTAGACAAAAACAACTTAAAAACACACACAAACACCTCTTGTAGCTGAGGTAATATTTTTGTAAGACTCATAGTATCACAAGTTTTTGTTACTGTGCTATACAACTTGGTATCTCATTAATGATACTCAGTGACTCAAAAGAAAGACATTACACATCCAGTTTATGTTAGAGAGAGCAAGAGAACTGTGCAATTATTTGAAAGAGAAGAGAAAACAGAGATGCCAAAGTATCACTCAAATTCTAATGCAATGTGAGTTGCTACCAAGGGGATTTTATTTGCTTACATATTACTGAAAATAATTCATTCAAACCTGTCTTTTTAAGAGCTGGCAGAGTAGTCTTTCATGTTCCGAAAGATCAAGCAATCAAACTTGAGGGCAAATATCCTCCACAGTCTCAGTTGCAAAGAACAAAAGCAGTGTGTTTTATTTTCTGAGCAGGTATATGAATACACAGAAATATTGAAGCATTCGTGCTGAGTCAGTAAAGTGAATGCTTTGTGCAGTTGTTAACAAAGCCTGTACTAAAAAGACAGCTGTGAGTAGTCAGGCATTTTTGCAAAAGTGAGTGAGATTCTTCACTCTCCAGTTGTTTCCGAAAACATTGGCTGAGTTATCAGATCCCCCAAACCTTGGTCATTTTGAAATCAGTTTGTTTTTACTGTTTCATACATATAACATCTAGTGCTGGGAGTTTGGAGGCTTCAATAAATTTTAAAATCCTAGGGGTTATATTTTCAAGGGCTCATAAAATAGAGAAGGGTAGCTCAGGGGAAAGAAATCTATGTGCAAATGTACTAAATCAATTCATAAATTCACTTAACATACTTAGTATTTACCAGGTTTTTCAGTTTTTAACTCAATCACTTTCATACTATTTGACTCAGATGAAAGAAATCCTACAATGTAAAGCGAGCAAATCACACTTCAGCCCCATGGCCAAAAGCTGGCTTATGTAAGAGGACCATTGGGCCTGTGGAACATTTTAATAGAATCTTATTCATGATACTATTAATCATACTGAATTAAAAATATTCTGAGCTATTATCACCTTTAAAAATGTAGCCAATGGATATTTGACTTTGGCACATATATGCTAAGGAACTAGAGCAATTTTTTAAAAGGGAGAGTATGCCTAATATGCATTACACTTATTCCTTTCTAAATTCATTCAAGTATATTTGGCCAGCATCTAAGTTCTTGAATTTTAAGGATTTTTATACTTCAACTAATTTGGAATGGTAGTAAAGAATAATTAGTATTTTACTTGCCACATTCCAATTTTAATATTAATTTGTATTCTGTCTCCAAAGAGACAAAAGACCAACCTTACTTGTGTGTGGTTCAGACTATCCATCTTGTAGTGATTCTATAATGAGACAGATTTATATAACTGAATGTTTATACTAACTTTTGTCAAAAATCTTGAAATAACCAATTTTTAACTACATGATGGATCTCATGGATTTTCATTAGTAAATACTTGATTCCATTCAGATTCTGTTTTTCTAGAAATTTTCTGAAACTTGAAATTTTCTGAAGTTTACTCTTATTTGAAACAATCTTTGATTATAATAAAAATGATTGGAAGTTGGACAGATTATAAACATCTAAAAATTTACTTAGCAGTTCAAAAGCATTGAAAACAATTTAAGTGTCATGGGTAGGGCAAAGTAAACCATAATCTAAAAGATTAACCAGAAAATACATGTGACCAGTGGTGTTTAATTTTATTTTCCCCTCTTGGTGGAATTTAAAAATGGAGAACATCTGTATTTTAGTGATTTTTAAAAACCACACACATACCACACGAGATCATAGACAGAGTTGCTATTTACGTACAATTTGACACTTTTTAGATACCATTTTTTGGTTCTAAAACTATTAATCACAAAAAGTAACTGTTCCGCTGACATTTAGCAAGTAAATCTCAGTTTTAGGTTGAACAACACTAGTGCAAAATCACTGCACTTCAGTGTGCTAAATGGTTTGTAATAAAACTGTGATCATTCCTGTGAGGAAATAAAATTCTAGTTATGTTTAATGATGGATCAGTGAAATGCTTATTATTTTATTATACAAAGAACCTCACCCACCAACTTCAACTTAGGAACAGGCAGAATTTTTTTTTTTTTAAACGAACCGACAACCATGTTTTTGCTTATTATTTTTGAGATTTACTTCTTTTCTCATCCATAAAAAGCAAGGACAAACTTCAAGGTTTTTATTTTTTCTTCATTATTCATTCAAACAAGTTTAAATAAAAGGTGGTAAGGATAAACTTGTTTTTCCCTTTATGTGTATCTAGTTTGGAGAATGAAACTATAAACAAAAACTAGAAGAAAATAAAAACTGAAGCCATTATTTAATGACGACTATATGGAAGGCGAGAGGCACATATTTTCATGTGAATTTTAATTGTGTCTCCTCTAAGACAAGTCGTTCAGAAATATAAGGCAAGTCACATTCCTTTCAGGACACAATTTGTAAATGTGGAAACAGTAATAGTTGTCATGATTATTTTCTATTCTATCTTAGGAGTGGCTCTATAAACAGCCTGATGATTCACATATCTAGGTAAGCAAATCAAGCTTTATAAACATATGACGAATTTTCAGTTGCTGGCATTGAAACGCTGGGTTTGGATATGGACATGGACAAATACGCTGTTTGCCTTAAATCTTTTGGGTACCTTGTCTTTTAATGTTTTGTTCTGATATTCAAGCAGAAAGTACATGACTTCATCTTATGGAATAAGCTGATCTCAGAGTGGAAAATTTGTAGAGATGAAGGAAATTTTGAGTTTTGTGTGTGTACATAAATGGCTTTATATAATAAATATACAGCCATTAAAAAGTTATACAGGGACAATGCAATTTAAAACTCTTCAAGTCCTGCTTACACATGGTCAAATCTAGCCCTTCTCATCTTTATCATTGATGATAGTTTATTTACTTAAAGATAAACTATACTGATACTATATATACACTGTATTAAGGATGATATAGCAGTATCAATCTAGGTGAAATAAACTTCTAATAAATATTAAAGTCAGATGGAATAAATTCAGCTCTGTGAAATTCTGCTTTATGTTTGCTGACAAATTTTTCCTTCTGCCCAGGATCATTTTTAGCTTAGCATGAGTGCTACACTAGCTAGAATTCAATGCATGAGTGTTACTTTCATGGAGGTTTCAAATTTGGAACCCTTTTCATTCAAAATATGTACCTATGCCTTTTAAAAAATGAAGAGTCAATATAATCAGCGTGGGCTTTTTTACCAGTTTTGCTTTCTAATCCATTTTCCCCCCAGTATTTCACTTTTGTCTCTCATAATTTCATAACAAAGTATCCAGATTATGTCTTTTAGACTAACCAGAAACTTAAACCTCAAACACTATTCTGAAGAAGGGTGGAGTAAATAATTCTGGTAATCTGTAGAACAGCTGCATGCAGTGTGTACTGTATTATAACAGCACCAAACCCCTTATAAAAACCGAGCACTCCTTCCTCCTGCCTTATGGTATTGATACAGTCTCTCATTCCCTCGTACTGTGTGTTAATGGGAAGCACTTCATAGCCAAGGTCTGTATTGTCAATGATTGTGCGTGTTCCTTGAATGTGAAGGCGGTGCAGAACTGTTTCCAATGGGTAAAGTATAACATCAGAGCAAAGACTGGCAGCAAAGTTAGCAATAAGTTCTGGAAAATAAGCATCCAACATACTCTGCACCGGACTAGTGCTCTCAGCTAGACGGCTACTGTAAGTCTTTCTCTTTAGAATTAGGAGGACAAACTTCTGAATGACTGAGCTGATGATGTAATGAAGAACCCCATGCAGCACCGTAGGGAAGATCAAGGAAAGAAGTGGGAGCAGTCGTTTGCTATGAGGCACTCCGAGGCCAATCACTCTTCCAATTCCTTCTTTTACACATTCCAAAATTCCAGTGTTATCGCGAATGATCTCACTCTGAAATAAAAATGATGAAATGGGTAAAAGTTAACACTTGCTTACTGTGCCCAAAGAAAGCACTCTTTTTAGGTCCCTTTTAAATCCTAATTTATTTCTACAGAGGGAAAATATCAATGGCTTGCTCACTTCAAATGTTATCTAGGCATTAGATTCTTTTTTTTTTTTTTTAAGATTTTATTTATTTGAGAGAGCGAGCACGAGATGGGGGGAGGGTCAGAGATGAAGCAGACTCCCCGCTGAGCAGGGAGCCGGAAGTGGAACTCGATCCTGGGACTCCAGGATCATGACCTGAGTGCCCCTAGATATTTTTTTTTAAATGAAACTTCCTACTAGACAGCAGTGAAGCTAGGAGCTATTCTTACTGGGAAGGGAAACAGAGGCGAAGATGTGGACAGGACACATCTGGTTCCCCTAACCTCAAGAAGCTCCTTAGAACTCATTTTGAAAAGCAACAGCTACTGGACACCTAAAGAGGTTGTATAGTGCTTAGAGTTCTTAAGCACAGGTTTAAACCCTGCCTCCACCAATTACTTACTGGTTATGTGACCTTGGGCAAGTTACTTCTCCTAAGAATCAGTTTACCATTCTGTAAAAATGGGATTAGTCCCACCTACCTTTTATGCACAGGGTTGCTGAGAGTATTATATGAAAACAGGCCTGGCTTCCAGAGACACTCACTCAATGTTAGTCATTATCATCTACAATATATCTGCCTTTTTTTTACAACTGACATTAGGGACTATGAGTCAACACAGATTCTTGATCAGCAAAAGGATATAAACATTGCAACTTGAGAGCAGTGGCATGAGTGTAGAGAATGACTTTAAAATGCAGGAACTAGATCATGGATTTTTAATGACGGCAACAGATCATCAGTAAGCTCATTTTTAAGAGCTTCAGGAGTTGTCCTATGGGAGATCTATAAATAAATGTGTATTTTTCAAGGGAAAAAGCGTTCTCAGAAATCTGAGTTCCCGAAAGGGGAAAAAAAAACCACTGAACATGAACAAAGTAGGAAGAAAGAAGATAACGTAGTAAGCTGAGTGTGTGCTAAAGAAAGGAGAATGGCTGCCTATCAGTGGGGAGAAACAGACAAATCTCAGATACGTGCTGCATTTACAACTAAGAAGGCATATGACTAACTGATTATGAAGGATGAAAGAAAGATAAAAATCAAGACTTTCCTAAAAATCAGAACTAAAGTTTTGAGTCTTTGGGGGCAGATATCAATAGTAGCACTAACAGAAAAGGAGAAGCAGCTCAAAAGGAAGCTAATTTTCAGGGTAATAAGGTGAGACTGTTCATGTGAGTTGAGTTTGAGGGGCAGATGATTTAATTCACATAGAGATTAGAGTTAAAATGATTCACAAGAGTAAATGAGTTCTTCAGGATGGTTAATATAGGATAAAAAGCAGAGCAGGCCAAGGAATACACCTTGGAGGACAGCGGAAGAGATGGCAAAGAGGTTATTAAAAGAAGAAGATGCTCAAAAGGGAAAAACTCTAAGAAGTAAAAGAAAGACTTCTAGAAAATAGACAAAAGGGTCAAAAGGAGACAGCAGGTGGAATCTGGAACAAGGAAAAACAGGGGCTGGATATTGGGTAAAAAAAACCCAAACTAATTGATAGTGAGCTGGGCGATTTACATAAATAACTCATCTAACTTTTATAACTGTTATTAAAATGCTATTCCCATCTTATGGATGAGAAAATTAAGATTTAAAAGGTTAAGACATTTGTTTACTCACACGATCAAACTTAAGTAGAGAAATGTGATTTTGATAAGGGTCTGTCTAAAGCTAAAACTTGTTCTCCGCATTATATGACACTGCTTATTTTTTCTTTAAATAACTACTTTCCTGCTATTTTCCCCCTTATCTGTCAAATGAGAATATCTCATAGAGTGGTAACTCTGTAAACTGCAGCCTTATACAAAGGTTGTATTATTTGACACAATGCCAAATGCAAGGGGAGAGGAAAGGATATTGGCATAGCAAAACATTAATTTCAGTTAACTCAAGTTAATTATAAATAAATAAATAATCAGCAATAAGGCCAGAAAAGCAACTAAGTGGAAAAGAGTAATTAGAAAAGCAAAGGCTAATCCCCTAAGGTTCTTACAGAGGAAACACATACATACTGAAGAAAAGAAATAAGCTAGAGGATCTGGTGTTGGAGGCAGGAGATAGGTGGTGTGCAATTGGATTTGAGTATATGTGAAGTTAAAACTACATCTTAACAGTTTTAAGTGTATGAAGGGTATGGTAAGAAGTACATTAATACACTGTACTTGAAGCGCCACAGTGTGGTTAGAAATGGTAAAACACTAAGATGCTGACAGGAGATTGCTTTAGCTTCGTAGTACTTAACACACCATGGCACCAAATATTCCTTAAAAGGCATATTTAAAATAATTTATTAAAATTTATTTATTTATTTATTTGAAACAGAGAGACAGAGAGAGAGCACAAGCAGGGAGGAGGGTCAGAGGCAGAGGGAGAAGCAGTCTCCCCGCTGAGCAGGGAGCCCGATGTACGTGGGGCTTGATCCCAGGAGCCTGGAATCATGATCTGAGCTGAAGGCAGCCACTTAACTGACTAAGCCACCCAGGTGCCCCAAGGCATATTTAAAAAGAATGCTGTTTAGTAGACTACCTATGGGACTACCTGCTCACTACTGGGATGATTACCCAGCATTATTTTATGCTTAGGTAATTAGTAATTTACTGTCTGGCAACAAGCCATAAGCATTTGAGTTGTATGTAACAGCTTAAAAAGTTGGAAAAAAAAAAAAAACCCGAACAGATTCTTTGTATTCAGGATAAGCCCTTGGCTGGGTTCTGAGATAGCTGAATGAAGACTACAGGTGGCTATGGAAGGGACAAAAAGAACTAAAACTAGAAGTGTGAAGTAAGTTTGCAAAGGAAAGATACACAACCAGCAATGTGGCTAGTGTACAATCCTTGGGATATGCGCGGTATCTGTGAGATACAAATTTTAAAAGGATACTGTCTTCAATTTTTCTGGTATACAATCAGAATCTGATATAAACAATATACTGAATATTCAAAAAAATATTTTTAACTAAAAAATGACAATAAAAAGTAGCTCACCTGTACTGTTTCAATCAGACTTGCTGAATAAAAAGGCATTGCCACCATGTAAGTGAGGCTGTAGAAATTAAAACAGATTTATCAGTATACTGAAACAACATGCTTACACTAAATTTTGAATATCTACTTTAATATATCAGCATAATTTATATTCAAGCCTGAATATATTTAAGGTTTTCAACTATTAATATCTATAGCCTGATACTCTGAAGACCTGTATTATAAGATGCCTTATTCAACAGTTAGTGATAAAATTTAAGTATTAATAATAACACAGGGAAAGGCTGCAAAGAAAATGGATTTTTAAACCAGTAAAATGTAGGCTTGGTTATGATTCACTGTCCAACACCTGCACATAGCTAATGTAACCTTGTTGTCTACCTGCATATAGCTAATGTAGCCTATAAATCTGATATTTAAAAGTTAGGATGAGGGATCCATTCCACTGTTTGCCTTTTTTAGTGACATTTGAGTAAGTATACTATTCTACTATTATCCTATCAATTATCATTATCCATTCCCAGATTTCCCACCCAGCAGAGCTAACCAATGTTCAATGATGAGTGAAGTCCCCTTTTATTATTAAAAAACAATATTGTACAGCTTTGCAAAGTTGTTTCCTATCACCACGATTTAGACAGAATAATATTACAACTTTGCAAGCCTGCAAAATATAGTTATTTAAAATAACATCAAGGTGGGACTTACCTAACCCTATGGGCCAGGTCCTGGCAAGAAGTAGTTTTCAAGGTGAATGGAACATCACTAAGTAATAATGTGCTGGAATGTCCCACAGAGGGAGCCAGCAAGCTGGGGGATTTCCAATTCACAATCTTCAAAAAAAATTAAAAAGTGAAGAGTAAAACTCTAATCTACAAAAATGGTCAGCGTTGTAAAATCACGAAGTGTCTTTAGGACTACATTTTAGTAACACTAAAGTTTGAGTTTGCTCATCATTATACAAGTAAGTTTTTGTCTCTGCTTAATAATAAAATGATTTTTCTGGCATTCGGGTTAAACAAGTTGAAGACCTCTGCTAACTTCCCAAGAACACAGAGGAAAATTAGGTTGTGATTTCAGCCTTTCAAATTAGAAAGATTTTTTTTAAAGATCATATATATTTCAGGATTTTATTTCTCAACTCTATGTTAACTGTCTTTTGAAGTTCTAGTCCCACAAATATTTTATTGGCCTAATTATTTTTGCTGTATTAAGATTTCTTTTTCAGTCCTAGCACTATAAAAATTAATGCAAATTTTCAATGTAAGTGCCACTTCTGATACTTACGATTTTAGTAGAAGGTGTTCTCCTATTTGCTTAGGATTCCACTTATGTGAAATCTCCCTAAAAAAATAAATTTCGATAAAACAGAAGCCATGTTATTTACAACATCTTGAATTAGTCCGACTTTCAAAAAGGCAATCAGTTGATTGTAATTAAGAAAAAAAAATCCATAGGAGAAACATGTTCTAATGGTGAACATTTTCTTTTCTGGGACACACATCAAACAATTACGGTGGTTTATTTTTTATTTTTTATTTTTTTTTAAAGATTTTATTTATTTATTTGCGAGAGAGAGAATGAGAGAGAGAGAGAGAGAGCACATGAGAGGGGGGAGGGTCAGAGGGAGAAGCAGACTCCCCGCTGAGCAGGGAACCCGATGCGGGACTCGATCCCGGAACTCCAGGATCATGACCTGAGCCGAAGGCAGTCGCTTAACCAACTGAGCCACCCAGGCGCCCAATTATGGTGGTTTAAAAAGAAAAAACGTACTGAGTGCTTTTCTGTGTGCTGAAAGAAGGGGCTGACAGAAGAGGAAGAGCTACCACTAATTATGAAAAACTTAAAACTTAAAGGAGGAACATGAAAACTTCAAGGAGATATAAAAATGAGGGGTTGAGGAAGAAAGAATAGTTGGGGAGGGGAAAGGGAAACAAGGAATAGGATAAAGGAAGAAAAAGCATGAAAAAGGATGAGAATTCAAAAACAAAACAAAATTCAGTAACTGTAATGCAGAATGAATGACACATGACATTTGCGTAGCACCAAATTTCCAAAGTGCCTTCCCTCGATGACATTAACTGTGTGACCTTTATTATATTCTGGTATCTTTCTGAGCACTTACAAGGCCGGGCATGGTGCAAAGTGCTTTGCAGGAGTTATTTCTAACCCTCACAATGACTTTGTTATGGCCATTTCGCAGATGAAGAAATAGGCTGAGAGAGGGGTTCATAATGTACCCAAAGCCATACAACTAGTTAGTGGCGGAACTGCATCCTCAAACCTGGTGTCTGGGATTTGGAAGTCTGTGTCCCTGTCTGCACTGCCTCTCATCCCATTTGACACTGGACGGCACCCTGTGAGGTAAGCAGAACAGGGACGGCCCAATCTGCTTTACTTAGAAGAGAAGGAAGGTCAGAAGACCCACAGGGACATGTTCAGGTGACAGGCAAAGCGCCAGGGCTGAGACCAAGGTCTTGCAGCGTGTGCTTCCTGCTGCTGAGGTCACCCTTGGAAACCAGAAAAGAGAGGAGAAAAAGGAGAGAGGTAAGCTGCAGAAACACAAGAGGAGAAAGTTGTACCAAGAGAGAAGTCAGAAAGGAGAAAAGAGAATGGAGAGAGACCAAAGGGAAAGTAAATGAGGAGGCAGAATAAACCGAGAAGGCAGAGAGAGGGGTGGAAGGGGCGGGAGAAGAGGGAGAAGGGAGAGAGGCCAAGGAGCAGCGAGAGGGAAGGGTGACACGCGCCACCCCGGCAGGAAGCTGAGGAAGCATCTTCTGTTTGAAATGAGAGAATATGACAAACCTAAGGAGGCAAGGCATACATTTGTTTTCTACTAAAAAGGTACAAAAAATACTCACTAATAAGTCCTCTAAAAACAAACTTAGTACAATTACAACATGGGTGGTATGCGGACTTTCTAAGAGAATGAAAGATCTGCAGAGAAACTTTCAGACAACAGAGCAACCACCTGTAATCAGTAAGACCTCAGAGAGCCTTCAGGGTCGCATTCTGATTAAATTAATACTAAGACTACTATTTTAGGCCTGAACAACCACAGAAAAATATAGCTGAAATGACCACCAATGATTTGGATGAAAAATATAAAAAGGATTAGGCTTCCCATCTTTTTGACAGTGACCTTCTGATTCTAACACAATACATGCTACATGATTTGCAAATCATCTGGGTACTGCTGTTACTCTTATCAAGGCCCCGGAGAGTATTATCACAGGGCATGATGACAGTGATTTTAAGGATGAAATCATCATTAACATTAGAGACAAATGGGTCTGTGATCAGTATTTCTTTTTTTTTTTTCATAGTTAAACACAGGTTTAATGAACATCCATTAAAAGATAAGCACTGTACTACTCACTGGAATATTAATAAGAATATAACTCAAATCCTACCTTTTCTTTCCCTTTAAATTTTTTATTGTTATGTTAATCACTGTGATCAGTATTTCTGTAAGGACTGGGTAACTGCCTTTGAATACAATACTAATTACTACTGCCAATTCTTAGTAGCAATAAGATTATTAAAAAAGTGGGAAAATGAAATTTAGAATCAAGTTTAAAAAAAATGAGACTCTCTTCCTTGTATCTCCATCTGTGGGTAAAACTTATTGCCACAGCTCTAGAAATTTCAATTAGCACACAGAAATGCTTTAGGGAAGAGGGTAGTATAAAAATCTACTTGTGATCAAACCTCTTCATATTTATCAAATATCAAAAGATGGGTAAATATATTTTAACTATTTTCACAAGCAAAACCTGCCCTTGAAAAAGAACAACAAATTTAAGAGAAATGACTTGCTTTTTCTTAAAATAGTTCTCTATTTGACAGATTGATATACATGCTTCCATGCATAATCAATACACAAAAAAGCAATAGAATTTTTAAGTAACTCTATTTTTAAAGTCTTCACTTATCATTATCTCTCATTTTCGCATGTTCAGATAGCTGCCCTCCTAAAAAAAATCTTCCCTCAACCAAACCCATCTTCCAGCTACTTCTCTTCATCTTTCCTCTGCAGAGCCAACTTTCTAAACTTGCTGTTTCCATGTCCTAACTGCTCATTCACCTCTGAACCCACTCCAAATTGGCTTCTACCCCAATTTCCTAAAAACAACTCTTGCCAAGGTCCCCATGACCTCTATGTCTAAATCCACTGGACATTTTTAAGTCTGAGGGTTACTGGAGGGAAGGTGGGCAGAGGGATGGGTTCAGTGGGTGCTGGATGTTAAGGCAGGCACTTGTGATGAGCACTGGGAGCTGGATATACCTTATTTCCCCTTCAACAGCCATCACGCCCTCAGGTTCCTCCCTTCTTCTTGAAGCTCTCTCTGCCCTTGTATTCCACTACCCCATACTCTTCTGGATTGTCCCCCTCCCCTCTAGTCTCTACTTTTGACTTCTCTGTAGGAGGATTTTCTTAACCCAGCCACCTATTCTAGAGTTTCTAAAGGCTCAGGCCCTCTTCTTACTTTATGTTATGTTCCTTCCTGATGCAATATTATCCAAGATGATGCTTTCAAAACCTCCCAAATCCATTAGCTTCAGTTTAGATTTCTCTGTATGTCAACCATGTATATCATGTCTCGTGACAACTCTACCTGGACATGGCAAAGCTCATCTAGAAATGAACTTGTTCAAAATCAAGCAAATGATCTTTCTTTCCTACTCTCAGACTCTTTTAGTGGTCCCTACTTAGTAACTATTAATCAGAAAGGAAATCTACTGAACTGGAGAAAGATTTCATTGTGTTTAAAATAGAATATGTTCAAAGTCAGTGAATTCAGGAGTTAGGAGGAACAGACAACATGAGGAGAAACTGTAAGATGTTTATATTGGTACAACTACAAATGTGAGATGCATCAAATGAAGTTGAAGGTCAACCAAATGGGTTTTGTGAGAGACTGAAATAGACAGGTAGCCTTGATTACAGGTGCTCCTTACGTTAATATGAGAAATGACATATGAAAGTAAAGGGTATACACAGTCTCACTCACTCTACCTGGGAGAAGACGTGGGGAAGGACTGGGGAGGGATCTGAGCACTAGATAAAGAAAGAGATCACAGATGATGATCTTGGGTTATATCCTTTTTTTTTTTTTTAAAGTAGTAATACCGTAAAACTCTAAGCTTGGTGACTTCATGGGCACTACACACTTGCTCTTTTTCTCTCAGATGTGATCAAAATGAATGTAAAAGTCTGAATATTGGTGAATCCATACTGTCTCACCCATTCTACCTAGTGATCGCTGTGCATTTAAGGAACCTCAGTCTAGGAGACCCCCAAGCTCATTCTCCTCAGGTGGTAACTTCCGTGAATCACTTTGGGTTACTGCTTTGCTGCCTTGTCTGCTATGACTGCTTTTCCCCAAGAGAGGTCAACCCTGCCCAAAAACAGTTAGATTTTTTAAAAAAAGTTTACACTGTACTCCAGAGAATGGCTTTATTTGACATCCAGTTACATAAGCCAAAATCCAGTTTGTCTTCACACAACCTGGTCTGAGCCTCCACAACAGCTCCTCCTCTATCATCCACCATCCCTAGTCCATCACTAAGTACCATCAGTTTTACCTAAATACATTTCAAAAGAGTCCACTTAGATCCACCTCAAGAGATGCCACCCTGGTCCTAGCTACCATTACTTGTCGCCTAGACGACTATTATTAGCATATGAACATGTGTCCTCTTAGACACTTCGGTCCTCCTGCAATCTTCTCATCTCCATTTACAATGACCCTTTAAAAACATGAATCTGATCACATCATCCCCTCTTCAATATCTTCAAAGTGGCCTACAAGGCCATGCACCAACCTGGCTCTCACCTATCTCTTCAGCATTCTGTCACACGCTCTCCCTCTTGCTCTCTGAGATTCAGCCATATGAGCCTTCTCTCAGTTACCTGAGTTCTTCACGTCCCAAGTTACCCTTGCAACACTGTCGTCACACAAACTGGTCTGAGCCTCCTAATCACCAGATGTCAGCTTAAATATTATTTTATTAGGGACACTGTTCCTAACCCTTTAATCATCTCACAGAATCTTTTCTTTTCCTTCAATTTGTAATTATTTATTCATTAATAGGATGATTTTACTTAATGTATGTCCCTTATACTGGCTTCTAAGTTTCATGGTCACATGTACCTTTTGTTTCTTCTCTTCACTGTATACCTATTTCCAGCACAGGATCTAGCACATAGTAGGTACTCAGGAAGTGAATTAATGAGTGGGATTTATCTGAAAAATTATCCAAGTAGAATACAACAAAGATAGCCTTTTGTGCCTTCTTTAATAAGATCCAAAATGACCAAGAGAAAATAGACACCCATACAAATGACATATCTATAGGTCTATAGAGCAAGAAAGTTAGGTAATAAAATTTAATGAAATTCTGTGCCTTCCCATTCCTCTTTGTCCTTCCTTCAACCTTATGTTAAAGTTACTACTTTAAAGTACTACTTTAAAGTTACTACTACTACTTCATCTCTGTGTTAAAGAAATAGCATGACCTGTCTGAAATCCCAGAAGTAAAAAGTGGTACAGCCAGGACCAATAGTAATCTGACTGCAAATTTACAGAATTCTTTTACACTTCATTATATAGACATTCCTGAATTTTATTATATCTTTATAAAATTTTGTGTTTGTGGGAGAATTTTACGAACATTTGACGACAAGTACTAACTTCTGATCTTATCCTATGAAATAAAAAGCCATAGGGTGAATAAAGTTAGCCAAGGGCAGAAACTCAGATTTTTTTAAGTATGAGAGGGAAATCTTTTAGCTGGCCAAATGTTTTGATTTTAACATTTAGTAAGGCTGTGTTAAAGAACTCTGACTATGAGGTCCTTTGAGAGCAATCACATTGGCAAAAAGCCTGATTTCAGTCTTTCCTCCCTTCATTTCATTCCCTGTAAGGACTGAATCCCAAGATTGAGACACTAGTGGCTGTACCTTCAACTACCTCACTTCCTAGTCAATCCAAAAAATTCACTCTGCCGGGGACCAACTTTGGATTAACAAACCATTCAAAGTCTTTGATGCTATCTCTGTAATATAGCATTGATACAGAAAGTCAGAGTCCTGCCAAGTAGTACCTAAACAAATTTATGATTTCCACTATTATCTATTAATGTTCCTTTCATATATACTCCTTGTTAAGGTTCCCTTCCTGTTATGCATAGCTGTGACTGTCTCAAATGTGTATCATCCTTCTCATGCTTTTCTACTTTGACCCCAATGCTCATCCTTCTTTCACCTAAAGACGTTATATTCTATCTCTGAGAGAAAACAGACCCAGAAGCAAGTTTCCTTAATTTCTCTTCCCTCTCCCTCCAAATGTATCTACAATTCTAATTCTCTTCTCTTGGCTTCTAGGACACTATTATCCCAGGTTACTACTATGTTTAATGGGTTTTGTATCTCTGACAACTACCCCAACTACCTCTCCTACCTCATACACATCCACATACACACATGGCATACACATGTGCCTTCACACATCACCAAGGATACTGTCCTTGGTCCACTTTCTGTCGTTTAGTGTACACTTTGTCCTGAGGGAAATTCATCCATCCTAATGCTTCAACTGCTACTTTTATGCCAGACCATTCAAAGCTATGTCTCCAGCTTCAAGGTTTTTCTAAGACCCCCAATCCATGGTGCCAACCACATATTAGACATGTCCTCCTAGATATCCTGCAGGAACCTCAACCTTTATCTATGGAAAGTTAAATTCCTCATCTTCTTTCCCACTCCAGCTTATTCTTCTTCTTGTACTCTCCAGTCTAGAAATCTATCACTGATGAAAATTCTCTCCCATCCCCTGATCCCCAATCTATCACCAATTATCTGTTAGATTTCAGAAATGTCTATCCCTTTCTGTTCTATCCCACACTTCAGATCCCTCTCAATCTGGCCTAGACTACTATAACAGTTCTCCACAAGTCTCTAGCTACAACTGTCTAATTTTTTATTTCACTCTGCCACTTGAAAAAATCCTTGATCAAAGAACCTGTATACTGAAACAAACACCTTAGATTCCCAACTCCATAGAGAATAAACCCAAGTCCCTTACAAAGGCACGACCACGCTTCAGTCCAGCATGTCAGCCTCTTTTTCTATTAGTCCACTCCATAAATGCCCAATATCCAAGCACAAGACATTTATTACCCAGACCTTAACAATCTCCGTAAAATTGGGCATGCTGTCACTTCTACTTGGAATGCTCTCCTTCTCTGCCAAGTCAATTCCTACTCATAATTCAAGATATAGCTCAAATTTCAGTTCTTTTTGGAAACCTTTGCCAATAACTTCATGCGAAGTGTCCTCTGGGCACTGAAAGGGGTTTGTTTAACTATAGCACTAATCTTGACATACTACTATAATTTGCTTACATGTGTCTCCTTCACCCAACTCTTGTTTGTTCCTTAGTAGACAGCTGCTGAAACATAGCAGTAGGAGCTGAAAGACCTATCTCAATAGATACTAGGCCAGGAAGCATTTTCTTTATCACATATTAATTCAATAAGATATAACTAATTTTAGTCTCTGTTTCTTCTCTTAGCTACCTCAGGCAAGTTTTCAAAGTCAAGGTATTTTTAGAAACTATCATATTTTGTTAAACTTTAATACGAAGCTAATATTGAAAAGATGCCAAGAAGGTACCTTGGTAAAGGTGTGAATTCACTTATTATTCCCTCTGCTCCAAGTGTGACTCCCTGGACAATAAATGTACTTCCCATTCCTTTCCAAAGGGCCCTTGGTCCCTAAAATGAACAAAATTTATTGTTATTGCTATTAATGCCTAAATAAGAAACACAAAAAAGGTCTTAATAAAATTTGACATTAAATTTACTGATATTTTCCAATAAGGCATTATTCTAAGACAGTTTAGTACAGAACTACATTAATTCCTATCATTTTATTATTTGTCAAGTGGCCTACGTTAACTAAATCTCTAATATTGACTAAATAGCCCTGATATTTAATTAATTTTGGCAAAGATGTGAATACATTGATTATTCAGTGACATCAAAAAATGTCATTACCATGTTACATTAGTTTTAGAACAAGCATTAAAATATTTTTATTAACTAAATTAAAAGGAATTACTCTTGCTTTAATTACTACCAAGATCAAATGGTACTTATGCTATAAATAATTTTAATAGAACCTACAGACTAATTCTCACCTGAGTTTTGTTGAAGCTGTACATAACATTGATGACTGTAAATGGAGTGAGATGGTAATGCCGAGCATGATAATTAACCTATAAAAGATATTATGTTGTAATTATTTTTTGTTATTGTTTTATCAAGAAATAACAAGGCCATAAAAGATATACAAAGGAGTCACAGCATAAACAAAAGTTCAATTCTAAAGTCATCAGAAATTACTCATAAACAAATTTACTACTATTAAAAGTACATTTAAATAACTTATTAAAAGTACGGTATATATGGTTGTATGTATATACAACACAGAAAACCAATGCACAATATACACAGTAATGTAGAATATATAATAAAGAAGGCCATGCTGTTTGATATTTATGTTTCCATAAACACTAGAATTACATTTGGTGTAGCAAAACATTCATGCCATTGAACAAACAGGAACCACTGAAGAACTCAGGGAACAGGAGATTCATGTCTCTCAATACCAAGCATTTTTCACATTGTGAGCTATAAACAATTGGTAAATTATGAAATCAGTAAAGGGGGTGAGAACCAACCCTTATTAAGTAAAATAACAAAAAAGAAAGTATCAGAATGCATCACACATTCTAATGCCATTATTTCATAAAACATTTAAGTAACTCATATAGATAGATACACTGGATCACAATGTGATACTGTCACAATGTAAAATGTATGTCTGAAATCCACTGCTCTAGGGTATATACACTGTCCTTGCTCTTAATGACTATTTTTTTTTTTTTTTTTTGGTGCTAAGCATGAACAGCTTCATTTGTAATTATTTGTATCTTTTCTAACTTAATTTTCAAAGAAGATTAAGTTAGATTATGGGAGTTTTTACCAGTGTTGTCAAATTAACCCATGGGGCCTTTCAGGGGATCTACAAGTTTAAAATTATTTTCTTAATGATACTAAGGCATCATTTGTCTTTTTTGTGTTGACATTTTCAATAATAGCGTAAAACAATAGTGGCTAAAGTTGCTAATTCCTTAGCATGAATCAAGACAGTTGGCAGCAAACTGTATTTTTGTACATATGATATTCTTTATCCTACTCACTTGGAAGGAGGAAAAAGCTACTTTCACTAAAGAATGTCCTTGGTGAAACAGTAAAATACATTAATTTTATAAAATCCTGATTCTTAAGTATACATCTTTCTAATTAATATTCTGTGTGTTGCATAATGAAGATAGCTGTTGTGAGGAAAAGCACTTGTCTGATGGAGTTGCAAGCTGAACTAGCCCCTTTTTTCATGGAACACCATTTCTTCTGCAAAAACTGACTGCCAGACTATAGTTATCACCACTTGAGAAAGTCTGGGTGGCTCAGTTGGTTAAGCGTCCGACTCTAGATTTTAGCTCAGGTCATCTCAGGGGTCCTGGGATTGAGCCCCACACTGGACTCTGCACTCGGCAGGGAGTCCGCTTGAAAGTCTCTCTTTCCACTCCCTCCGCCCCTCCCCCCACTCTCTTTCACTCTCTCTCTAAAATAACTAAATCTTTAAAAAAAATAAAAATGAACAAAGTGAGTCTATTGATTAAAGGGAAAAAAAAAACTGGCACTATGTGATGCCAATGATAAATCTGACTTTACAAACAAAAATTAGAATTCTGAAAAAACTGCCTCTACCGTGAAGAACTTACCAATACCGAAACACTTTTCTGGTGCGATTGGTAGTGATTTAATGACAATTTTTAAAAATATTGTATAATCAAATGTCTTAACATTTAGAAGATCTACAGAACTCAGTAAATCAATATATTTCTTTTTTTTAAAGATTTATTTGTCAGAGAGAGCGAGAGAGAGCTAGCACAAGCAAGGAGAGAGGCAGGCAGAGCAAAAAGCAGGCTCCCTGCTGAGCAAGGAGCCCAATGTGGGACTTGATTCCAGGGGACATCATGACCTGAACCCAAGGCAGACACCTAACCGACTGAGCTACCTAGGTGTCCCAGTAGTCTTCAAATAATCAACACATGATGTTACAGAATCATACATGGATAAAAAAATCCATTCGACATACAGTATAGATCAAAAGATTTTAATGGAACAGAGTACAAAAAGTTAATTCACATGGTTTGAGATTTCTCATTGCAAATAACCTTTAATATATTACTACTTATTAAGTTTTGGTGTAGTAACAAAGAAGAAAATCTGCCAATTATCTGAAAAGATACACTCAATTTTTAATACATATGTGTATAAGTTTAGACCTTCTTCTTTCAAAACCAATTTTTACCACTTAAGAGTTTTCAAGACCAAAAGTTTGAGACTGATATATTGTAGATTCTGGTATATTTCACATGAAATAATGGCTACACAGTTTCAGCCATTTATCTGAGTTCTGTATTTTAAATCTGAGTCAGGATTATTGTTTAGAAGGTCACAGAAAAATTCATTTACCTGACATTGGCGGCGTAGAACAATGCAAGGATGTGCCAGTACATTTTCTGTAAAGAGACTATAAAAGAATAATTTATATATATAATAATAATAATATATGAACTAACTTTATATGTAATTTGTGTGTGTATGTGTGTGCGTATGTGTATATATATATATATATATATATATACACACGCACAAACATATAATAGCCAAAACTTAAATTACAACATATATGTATCTGAAATTATTCTTGCTTGAAGAATCATGCACTATTTTGTTTCCCATTCTAACAGTAAAAAACTAAAAATTGTCTGGACATGTTTGCAAATCATTCTACCAATAACAAAATTCAATATGAAAAGAATTAAAGCCAGATCTGCAAACTGGTAAACAAAGGAAATAACATAAAACAGGAATACATATAATCTAAAGATGAAACTACATCTCCACATGCCTGATATGGGAAACTCTTTCCCTAGACAACTTAAATCTCCTTTCCATTTCTTTCAGAAGATGTCCTATGAACAAAGTTCCTATCATCAGTTCCTTCATGAACCACCTTCTATAAATTTTAGTTTTGATGTACATTGCATTTAAGTTATAGGGATTTTAATAACTATTAACTGACTACTATTTTAGGTAACAAGTATTTCTTCTGAAACCATTCCCTACAAAATAATTACAACTGTGGGCTTACACAGTGACAGATGCACAAGTGTGAGTGCATGTAGCGCACACACACACATATATAAATAATGTATCAAATGAACAACAGCTTTACGTATAAACACTGAGGCTAAAGAAAAATTACTCTAGCAGAAGGAAAATCTTAAAACACAATTTTGTTCCTATTTACATTAACACTTTCAGGTTTAATTATGCAAATAAGAGTTTTTTTTAATTAAAATTTTAAAATAATGAGTTATCCCGGCAATGCAATGTAACCCTTTGTGCAATTCTGATGTATTTGAAATAATATTCACTAGAGATCACACAATCAAGATTGGAGGTTTTTCTTCCACGAAATGATCATTTAAAATAAAAAAAAAAAGGGTGTTCATTAAATGCTGATTGTAAGCAAAACCCAGACTCTATGTTGCTAAATATCACATTATAATTAGAATGTTTAGGGAAAGGTTCAATGCAAAATTATTTTCTCTTGGAGGGGGAGATTAGATCAGATTTTTTGGATAGACACATGAAAGCTGTTTAACTATAACTTACAAAATTCTTTTGTCATTATAAAATTGAATGTCTATTCTCTGTCCTTACTTGAAAACAATCAAGTTATACATTTTAAATAATTTTTTCTGCAAAATAGTATTCAACATTTAATCTACTGCTCCAAAGACTCAATCTAAAGGAAGCAATACTAATCATTTAACATTTTACATTAAAACACATTGAATAAAACTTTAAATAAAAATTTAAATTAAAAATCTTTAGAAAAAAACATTACCTTGCAAGGCCAATACCAAATCCAGCAAATCTATTCAACTGCTCTAAAACAGAAAAAATAAGATTACTTATAACCAATATTTAGGTTTACTGTAAAATATTTTTTCTTTTATTAACATGATATTTATTTAAATTCTAGGTCCAAAGTCAAATTCTCATATGGGCCAGGGAAGTTGTGGGAAGTTTTAAGGCAGACCTGCTCTTCAGCTCCAATTCATCGTTGACATGTGGGACTGTGGGCCTCGGGTTTCTAAACTGTTATTTTTCTAAAGAGATATTGTCATTTTTACATAATATCTTCCAATTTTAAAATACTGGCAACTATTTTAAAAAGCATTACAACACTGTGCGGGCGAAATCAAACATGTCTGCAGGTAGAATCTAAGGATTACCATTTTCCAACTTCTAACTATAAACAATTTAAATTTTTTTCTATAGAAGGCTCTGACTGGTATTATACCAACAACTTCACCTCCTATCTTGTAAAATTAGTCATTTGCTGTTATTGGTGAAAAGCATCTATGTTAAACCAACAGTTGCAAGTAAGACCCCTCAAAATTATTAAATTGAAAGAGTACTTAGGGTAATCAAAATGGTTAAATGAGGCTCTCGTCTTCTCTCTTGCCAAGTTTTAAATATCTATTTTTCATTTTTTTTTAAAGATTTTATTTATTTGACAGAGAGAGAGAGAGACAGCAAGAGAGGGAACACAAGCAGGGGGAGTGGGAGAGGGAGAAGCAGGCCTCCCGCCAAGCAGGGCACCCTATGCAGGGCTTGATCCCAGGGTCTTGGGATCATGACCTGAGCAAAGGCAGATGCTTAACGACTGAGCCACCCAGGCACCCCCAAGTTTTAAATATTTTGAGAATAACTGCATAGATCCCTGTGAGAGGCTATTGGGTACATATGTGCTACTGCTGATGGCATTTCTGTTGTCTTATTCGAAAAGTTTACAGCTGGAAACATTCCTATGCGTATGTCAAAACAAACAAAAAAATTTCTTTCTCCTTGGCTAAAAATCTCAAAATCATGATGGTGAAATACCACAGTCTTGGGGGACCAGACATTAACTTTCTACTATAATACAATATTCACAAGGGATAACTTTTCTCTCTCTCATCTCCGCTCTTTCAAATGAAGCAATGTTGTCACTATTTCCTTACAGTCAGAATAAGGCCTTGTAAACATGTCTTTGGGGAAACTATTTTGTTTAACTCTTGCCTTGAAAAATGTACAAGCCAGATAGAAGCTTCTCTTGCCAATTAAGATACTTTCTTCCTTTCAGCGTTTCCCTTTTTGCGTGTACTGATCATCCCAATATTAACAGAAAATGCTGCTGATATTTTCTGTTAAGTGTTAGAAAGGTTTATTAACTGTGTAAGTTAACTAAGTCTCTCAGTCTTCAATTCTCCTTGCAAAATTACCATCGCCAGCCTCTTAAATGCTGCAAAACACCCCCCATGGTTTTATTAAGAGTTCCTCCTCATTTTACCCATTAAAGCATAAATTATAAAAAGATAAAAATATCAGCTTTACTAAGAAGCTAACTGTGATAGCAATCATATTATGCATTTGAATTATTTTATAACTTTCCAGTACTCCTTTGGGACCTACAGAAAGAAAACTAGAGAGGGTGAAAAAGCAAACTGTATGACACTGTGTAAGTAAGATGCTCCTCCACATCCTCATTTGCTCTTAGGTGATATTTAAATTCTATTCCTCCCAGTTAACTCAAATCAAATAAAAATTATTGTACTTCCAAGTCAAAATAAATGAGAATGAACATATCTAGAATATACTTAGTATTTAACGGTCTAGTCTAGCATTCTAATGATTTCAAAATGGGTAGAGGCAGTGATATTTCCATTTAATGAATAAAAAAGTTGAGAATATTTAGATCACAGTGTTGCAATTAAAACACAGGTCTTCTGACATCCTACAGAGAATAATTATGTCCTGATTCCAAAGTCTTGAAATTGTCTCAGTGTTTTACTCTTTAGTGGAGTTTTTAGGTGAGAAATAGGAAAGCAGGAGATGGGAAAATATAGGGGTAGTTTGAGAAACTAGAAAACAGACACAATTCCTATGATTAGGAGAAAAGGAAGGAAACGAGTATTTTTTAGCTTACTATGTGCTCCATACTGTACTAAGCATTACTTAAACCTCGTTTTATTTAACACTTAATAAACTCTATACATTATTCTTCTATCCACCTTAAAGGTGAGAAAACGGAAGGCTCACAGAGGTTAAGAAAATGTCTCAGCTTTTGAGAGTGGTAGAGCCAGGTTTGAACCCAAGCCTGCCAATGGGGAACACAAAGCTACCATTATTAATTCAAGGCCATAAAGGTGTCAGTGAACTAGGTATTGTTCACATAATTCTTCCCAATAAACAGTAAATAATCCAATTTCCTTCTTTCTTGATTTAGGCCATGGGATGTAATACACCAAAACCCTTTGAAACTCCTACCACGCAGCCCAGAGCTAAGGCGGGTGTCTTTCCGGAGGTGATCCCGAGGAAAGGTTTGTGCGAGGGAGAGGGAGCAGGCCCGCTGCAGGGGCAGAGGACGAAAAGAGGGCAGAGGGTGTGGCGCGCGATAGGTCCAGCGGCACCGGAGGCGGGACCCTCCGCGAGGCTTCCGCGGTTTGCAGGCCGCGAGCCGCGTCTCCGCCACTCCACCCACCCCTGCCTCGCACCCAAGTCCCTCACCGGTGCTCTGCCCCGGCACGACGCCGCCGCCGCCGCCGCCGCCGGGAAACGGTTCCTCCGCGGGGCCCTCGAGCGGGGTGGAGGGGCCTGGCACGCCGTAGGGCGGGCTCTTTTCGCCCCAGTGCAGGTTGCGGCTACCGGGGATGTCTGGCGGAGTGGTCACCCAGTGGCTCAGGTCCGACGCGGAGCTGAAGGACCTTGCAGGGAAAGCGCCGCCAAAACCCTGCTCATCCCGGGCACCGCCCCGATAGCCCAAGCCGTCGAATCCGTCCGGGCGCCGCGGATGCATCGCAGACGGGGCAGGATGACGCGAGCCCACTCGGAGCCCACCACCACCGGGGCCACCGCGAACTACGGCCACACGCCTTCTTCCCGGCCCCCGCCGCGTCTGGGGAAATCTGACAACCGGAAGTCACGTTGCAAACCTGGAAGTTCGGTGAGCACGTGATCGTAGCCTTTTCCGGCGGTCTGGCGAAACAGGGTTGCTAAGGAGACGCGGCGGTAACCTAGGGCTAAGCCGCTGTTTGGAGGAGGTGGGAAAAGGACTGTAGGGTTAATGGAACATTGTACCAAAGAGATGCCAAGGAAACCGGGGTGGGAGGGACAGCCTGGATAAGCGGAGGTCGAATAAAGACGTTTTATCGAGGGACCTAACGCGTCGGTGGAGCTGACTCACTATCTCAGCCAGAAATGTCCAGCTGCACCCAAAGGCCTCAGATCTAGGTCTTCTCTTTTCCTCACTGGTCTAATGCCTTGCCCGCTGCAAGGGAGCTATTAGACGTTAGAGTTGAGGGGTGTTGGTAACGTCTCTCTAGCTTTGCCTCCCGCACCTAGAGTTTTAGCTAGGATCTACTGAGAGAGCTGGTTCTGCCCAGTGAACGCAAAGGTACCTATGGACAGCTAGAGCAAGCGTTACAAAAGACCGTCGGTGGAGAAAACCTCCTCTTCCCCTCCGCTCCCCCACGAATATAAACTCTCAGGGTTTAGGAATTCAGCATTTTGCTTTTCTAAGGCTACAAAACAATTGTAAATAGTTTTCTTTTTTTTTCTGGTGCATCTAAATCACTTGGTGTCTTTAAAGCCCAGTGATACTGTTCAAGATTGAGACCCTAGTTGGACAATAAAGAGGACTTCTGAACAGAGGGTTGATATGTGGCTTAGGCAATTGTATTGAGTCTCTCCCTTAGTAAGTGTACCTAGTATTACTCAAGTACTAATACCAAATTACCGTGCAACTAATATCAAATTAATTACTGAGCATGGCAATACAAAATATTTCTCTCTTCCTTAGGAATGATTGAATTAAAGATGCATTTGGCTCAGGTCCAAAACTTGTTTCTTAAAAGAAGAAGGAAAGACCTGTGTGTGTGCACTTTTAATATAAAAACAATAACGTCTCACAATTTCATATCAATATCAATGAAGAAAAGATGAATTAGTAAAAGAAGGACAGCGGGGTAGCCAGTTGAGGGGAGGAAACAATAACAGCCCCTCCTCACAGCTCACCCCCACATAAATTCCAGCTGCAATAAATTGTATTTTTTCTTTATTTTTAAAAAGATGAATATTGGGAGAAAATAATAGGTGATTATTTTTCAAATAGTCAATTGGCAAACTTTCTAAATGACAGAAAAGTCAAAAACCATGTATGGAAAGACTAATCAATTTGACCATATAAAATTTAAATTTCTATATGCAAATAAAAAGGGGAAAACATAGTAATCAAAATTGGAAGAAATATCACAAACTGGAAAAAATTACATTTTAACATGATAAAGACAATGAGTCACTTTATTGTAAAAAAGTTCTTAGCAATGAGTAAGGGTGTATCAGTAGAAATATAAGCAAAGAACATGAAGAGGCAAGTTGTAAAAAAAGAAATGCAAGTGGATAATAGTTATATGAAAAAATGTCTGCCCTCCAGTAATTGAAGAAAGGAAAACTTAACAACTATCTTTCCCCTATTTAAATGACAATGTTTAAAAGGGAAAATGTACATTGTCATGCAATGTGAGAAGAAAGTAGCTGTCATTCATTTCTAGAGTGGCATAAAATATAACAACTTTTTCATGGAGGGCTGTTTAGCAATATTTCTAAAAAACCGTAAAAATGGTAATCTTTTGAGTTCTAAATCTTAGGAAACAAATATAGGGTATATATATTGACTTATGCACATGTTCATGACATAATCGCTCATAACAGGAAAAATTGTCAGGATACTAAATATCAAGTAATTTTCCATTAATTATTAATTAAAACGATTCATCTCTATGGTCCTTTAAGCCAAGTATGTTTATGGAGAACCTACCCTCTGTACAGTTAATGTTCTAAGCAGTGAAGTTAGAATGATAAATGAGCCAAAGTCCTTGCATTGTTAGAACTCATGTTCTAGTTAGATGACTAATAGAGAAATAAATCATGTCAAATAATGAAACAAACATATAATGTCAAATAATGATACATATTATATATTTAATAAAATCGAGTCAGTGATAGAGGCAGTGTTTTTTAGATTGGTTGGTCAAGGATGTCCTCTTTGAGGAAGAGATCTTTAAACAGACTTAAATGAAGTGAAGGAAAGAGCCTTGTGTGAATAACTGGAAGAAAAATTTTCAAGGCAGAATTAAGTGTAAAGTCCTGAATACAAGCTAGGTAGTTAGTGAGCAAGGGCTCACTGAGAGCTGAAATAGAATAGGGGAAAGATTTGGCAGGATTTTGTGGGGATGGACAAGAATTTAGATCTTTTAAGAGGAGAAGAATGAGGTGACTCTAATGATGTTTTTGAAGGACCAGTGTGACTTCTGTACGGGGCAAAGGTGGAAGCCTCCTCTACTGAGTAGACCACTGTAAGCAGCTCAGACAGGAGACTACTCCTAATCTATGGTTTCTCTTTCCCAGGTTTTCAGTTTCCTTTGCTTTTCAGTTTCCCACAGTAAACCGCAGGCCCTAAGCAGATGATCCTCCTGAAGTGTAGTCAGAAGACCAATAGTAGCCTGATGCTTCTTCATAATGCCTATGTGATTTATCTCACTTTATCTCATCATGTAGGCATTTTATCACCTCACATCCTCACAAGAAGAAGAAGGGTGAGTACTGGACAGTAAGATATTTTGAGAGAGAGAGAGACCACATTCACAAAACTTTTATTATAGTATATTGTTATAATTGTTCTGTTTTTTAATTATTATTGTTAATCTCTTGCTGTGCTTAATTTATAAATTAAACTTTATCATAAGAATGTATGTATAGGAAGAAAAGAGTATATATGGGGTTTGGTACTATCACAGTTTCAGGCATCCACTGGGGAGTCTGGGTCTCTCATGAAGTTGCTGTCAAGACTTCAATTTGAGGTGCAGTTATTTTAGACTTAATGGGTTTGACTGGGACTGGAGGATTCACTTCCAAGATAACTCACTCAGCTAATTGTGGAAAGAATGCCTCCTTTTCTTGATGGTTTGCTGTCAGGAGGTCTTAATTCCTTGCCACATAGAGCTCTCCATAGAACTCTTTTTTTTTTTTTTTTTTTTTTTGAGAGAGAGAGAGCCTGAGCATGTGAGCAGGAGGGAGGGTGAGGGGACAGGAGGGCAGAAGGGGAGAGGGAGAGAGAGAATCTTGAGTAGGCTCTACACGCAGCACAGAGCCTGACTCGGGGCTCACTCTCAGAACCCTGAGATCATGACCTGAGCCAAAATCAAGAGTCAGACGCTTAACCACCTAAGCCACCTAGGCTCCCCTCTCCATAGAACTCTTGAGTGTCCTCCTAACGTGACAGGTGACTTCTACCCTGAGCAAATGATTCGAGAGACAGCAAAGAGGATCCTACACTGTCTTTATGACATAATTCCACCTCATCACTTCTGTCATATTCTAATCTCTAGAAGTGAGTCAGTAAATCCAAGCCCACACTAAGTGGAAAGAATTTGGCTCCATCTTCTGAAGGGAGGGTTATTGAACAATTTGTGTTCATATTTTTAAATAACCACAATTAAACTATTACATAACAATGAGTTGATAGAGGATATTGAAGGCATCAAAGATTAAAAATTAGGAAAAATTTCACAAAATTGTATTATTAATAGAAAGATATGGATTCATTTCTTTTTACCTTTTCCCTTAGTAAATAGATTTGAAGAATTAATTTGCTTTGGAAAAAATCATATGATAGAAATATTTATAATCATGAGATAGTTTAGTAAATATTTTTAAAAGTCCAGTCATTATTCAATTAGACTTGAAATACAGGTGAAGAATAGCAGATTATTTTGACAGTATTCAATAATTGCACAAAATGATATGACTTGCTTAATTAAAGTACAAAAGAAGCAGGTCATTCATTTATATTAATATTTTACTCAGAAATTCATACACTAAATTTAGCTCATCAGATAAAACAATCATCTACATTATACAGGAATTCACCCAGCAATATTTATTAAGCGCTACTATGTGCAAGTCACCCTGTTAGGTATTATGATGCAGTTATATATTTTCTCAAGGATGAAATTTGAAGATATTGAAATTATTTATTTCAAATGTATATGTGGGCCAAGAAAAAGTTTTCATAATAAGTTTTAATATGTATTAAACCACACCCTCATATCCTTGCTTCTTTTTCATAATTTTCTTGGCTAATCTGCCCAGTATTCTTCCAAATGAACTTTATTTTATTTTTTTAAAGATTTTATTTATTTATTTGACAGAGAGAGAGAGACAGCGAGAGAGGGAACACAAGCAGGGGGAGTGGGAGAGGGAGAAGCAGGCTTCCCGCCTAGCAGGGAGCCTGATGCGGGGTTCCATCTCAGGACCCCGGGATCATGACCTGAGCTGAAGGCAGACGCTTAACAACTGAGCCACCCAGGCGCCCCCCAAATGAACTTTAAAAAAACATTTCAGTCTTCACTCTCATTCTTCTAAAACACATACACACACACACACACACACACACACACTCTGGGATTTCAGATGTACTCACATGTAATTTATATGGTAACTTTAAGAGGTTGGATTTTTAAATATTCTATGAAATATTTCCTTTAGTGAGTCATGGTTTTCTACTTGCTAAGGTCTATATTTATGTCACTAAGTGTTCTCTTCCAAAACCATGTTATATATTTCTATTTTTTGAGATCCATCATTTAGTGTATGGTATGAATTGAGGATCTAAATGAATTCCTCTACCCGACAATAGTGTAACATCTTTATTTTACACTTCTTTATGAAAATTGAGAACTTCCCCCACTCCTTTCTCACACTTCTCTACTTGACCCTAGATTACAAAAGCTATAAACATATCTCTTTCAAAATTTTTGTTGTCATTTCATTTTGTGGCTGAGGGAAAATTAATTGTTTAGGTGTATCTGGTTTCAGAGCTTAACATCAATTCTTCCCAGTCACAACTTCTGTATT